TGCCCTGGTCTCTCTGGGCTGTGGATGGAAGCATAGTTATCCTTTACAGTTAATATCCATTTATGAGTGATACATACCATGTTTGTCTCTCTGGGTTTGGGTTATCTCATTCAGGGTGGTTTTTTCCTAGTTCCATTTGCCTTCAAATTTCTGATGTCATTGGTTTTTGTTTTGTTTTTTTCTGAGACAGAGTTTCTCTGGGTTGTTTTGGAGGCTGTCCTGGCACTCGCTCTGGAGACCAGGCTAGTCTCAAACTCACAGAGATCTGCCTGTCTCTGCCTCCCGAGTGCTGGGATTAAAGGCGTGTGCCACCAACGCCGGCCTCATTATTTTTTAAAGTTTATTTTACACACCAATCACAGTTTCCATCCCTCCTCTTCTCCCCCCCCACTCTTCCTCCATCTTTGGAACCTATTCCCTATGGTGGGATGACATTGTTTTTACTTCATTGAAAACACGCCACATTTTCTGTATCCATTCTTTGGTTGAGGGGCATCTAGGTTGTTTCCAGGTTCCGGCTATTATGAATAAAGCTGCTATGAACATAGCTGAACAAGTAGTATGATTGAGTATGATTGTGGTATGATTTCCTTTGTGTATATGCCCAAGAGTAGTATTGCTGGGTCTTGAGGTAGATGGATTCCCAATTTTCTGAGAAACCACCATACTGATTTCCATAGTGTCTGTACAAGATTGCACCCCCACTAGCAGTGGAAGAGTGTCCCCCTTTATCCACATACTCTCCAGTATAAGCTGTCATTAGTGTTTGATATTAGCCAGTCTGATTGGTGTAAGATGGAATCTCAGAGTCCTTTTGATTTGCATGTCCTGATGGCTACGGATGTTGAATACTTCTTTAAGTGTTTTGTAGCCATTTGAGATTCTTCTGTTGAGAATTCTCTGTTTAGATCCGTACCCCATTTTTTAATTGGACTATTTGGTGTTTTTGGTGTCTAGTTTCTTGAGTTTTTTTGTATATTTTGGAGATCAGCTCTCTATCAGATATAGGGTTGGTGAAGATCTTTTCTCATTCCGTAGGCTGCATTTTGTCTTATTTACCATGTCCTTTGTGTAGAAGCTTTTCGGTTTCACAAGGTCCTATTTACTAATTATCAGACTCAGTGTCTGAGCTACTGGAGTTCTGTTCAGGAAGTGGCCTCCTGTGCCAGTGCATTCAACTTCTATCAGGTTCAGTGTAACCGGATTTATGTTGAGGTCTTTGATCCACTTGGACTTGAATTTGTGCAGGGTGATAGATATGGATGTATTTGCTGGTGTGTCCTGTGTGCGCTCATCCATACATACACACATAAGTAATTTTTTTTTTTGGTTTTTTGAGGCAGGGGTTCTCTTTGGTTTTGGAGGCTGTCCTGGAACTAGCTCTTGTAGACCAGGCTGGTCTTGAACTCACAGAGATCCTCCTGCCTCTGCCTCCCGAGTGCTGGAATTAAAGGCGTGCGCCACCAGCGCCCAGCACATAAGTAAATATTAAGGAAAAGAATATTTAATTGAGCCAGGCCTGGTAGTACAGGCCTATAATCCCAGCTACTTATGAAACAGAGACAAAGCGGTCTCTTTGGCCTCGGTGGCAGAATCAAGATGACGAAAGGAACGTCATCCTTTGGAAAGCCTCCCAATAAGACACACACGTTGTGCTGCCGCTGTGGCTCTAAGGCCTGCCACCTTCAGAAGTCCATGAGAAAGTATAACTGGAGTGCCAAGGCTAAGAGGCAAAACACTACTGGGACTGGGCGGATGAGGCACCTAAAAATTGTCTATCGAAGATTCAGACATGGATTCCGTGAAGGGACAACACCTAAACCCAAGAGGGCGGCTGTTGCAGCATCCAGTTCATCTTAAAGATTTCAGTCAGTCATAAAAATAAAATGTTCAATTTATGTATTGGTTTTCTGCAGAGTTAAATAAGGGTGGGAATGGTGGCTCACCCTTGTAACCCTACCCCTTGGGAGGGTAAAGTAGAAGGATCTCTGACAACCTGGGCTACAGGCTATGTGAGGCCAGGTTGGGTTATAGAGGTAGACCGCCCCTTCTCAAAAAACTTTTAAAAACAACAAAAGTCACCAGTGGGAGTGGGGCTTATTCAGCTTCAACCCACACTCTAGGCTCATGTTTTTTTAGAGTGAAATTTGGATTTCTAAATGATCACAAGTGAGTTCTCCAGAGTTGGAACTTGAACCCAGGGACAATGCCTTCCACTGTGGGGTCCTGCAGGCACACACTGTTGGATTATTACTCTGTGGTTAAACCATCTTCATTCATAGAATTTTTAAAAATACATTTACCCCTTAGTTTTAAATTGGCTTTGAAATGTAGGGAAACTTTCAGACCTAAAACAAAAAGTATCAACAAAACAAAACCAAATAAATGAAAAACCACCCTGTATTTTAGAGACACACTTAGGAATCTAGTTCCCCACAGATGTTGAGAGCTGGCCTTGCACTGTCTTTCAACTCTGTACCTGAGGACCTGCTAGGTAGCCCAGGACACACAAAAAATGGAAACTTCAAATCCACTTGGTTATTTTGATGATCCTGTAAACATTTAATGTGTTTACAAATTGTCTGTAAAAGATGTTACAAAACATTATGCTAGGAATTGCTTGAAATAGATTTTTTAACATTTATTTATTAATTATGCATATAGTGTTCTGTCTGCATGTATGCCTGCAGGCCAGAAAAGGGCACCAGATCTCATTACAGATGGTTGTGAGCCACCATGTGGCTGCTGGGAATTGAACTCAGGACCTCTGGAAGA